GCCCCCGCCCCCGCCCCCCAGGCCAGTCCCCTCACGCCTAATTCAGGGTTTTCACCGTAATTCCAGTTAGGGCCTAGAGCGCTTCTCTCCGCCAGACCTGACGCCGCCAACCTCACGTTAAGGCTCGTGCGCCACGGGAGTCCGAAACGGAAGTCAGGGCGATCGGAGTGTGTCTCCTGGTTAAAGCGCCATCTGGGGTCTCTGAGGGTGCACAGCAGGGGCCGCGCTCTGGCCCTCTGGTGCCCCGGATGTTCAGGGGCGGGTAGTTGGCGCAGACCTCACGCAGGATCCTTGCCTTTACTCCCATTAGGGCCTAAGACTGGTCATTGTTCTGATCTGAAGCTCGCACCCTGGTGCGATGCCCTTTCCCCCGTCAGTCCCCTGGAGAAATTTAGAAGGTTCTTGCAAGTGGCGACACTAAACATTACCTGCTTGCATTCTGACAGGGCTTACACAGGAGTGGGGTTCTGTGGGGTTGACTTTAGTCTTGGGGAGGAGAATTCCCTTGGAACTCACACAGGGCGCCCCCCACTTTTTTTCCCTCTGGTTTGCCCTGGGTAACTTTACTCTGGTGGCTAACTAACCGCAAGCCAGGGCCCTCCCCATGTCACAATCCAGTTTCCAGAGGTTGAAACGAATGGGCATCTGAGCCTCACAGCCATACTGGGCCCCCCAAAAAATCTTACAGCAGGAGCAGGTCACTGTGCTGCCCATCTGCTTTGGGGTGGGTGGTTCCCTTAGAAATCAGACAGAATTCTCACCTTTACTTAAGTTAGTGCCTGGGACCCCATTCTCTGTGGCCCTGAGGCCTACACCCAGCCCCAAAGCCCTCAAAACCGTGACTCCGCAGAGAGGAAATTCAGAGGGCGCTACTTTAGGCAGTCCTTACACAGAGGCTGCCAGGACTGAAAGCAGGGGCGTGACTCTGGGGTCCACTCTCTTCTGGGGTGGGAGGTCCCCTCAAACTCAATCAAGGACCTGACCTAAACCCGAGATTCCCCCTGATGTCACTCATATTCTCCACCTTTCCTTGAATCATCTCCTGGCCAAGTCTGACAGGCCTGTCCATTGTCCTCACTGCAGAGGTTTAGATTAGATTATATTTACTACAGGTTTTGCAGTGACTTTGGGAATGGCTAGCACAGAATCTACGTAATTTTTTATTTTATTTTTTAAAGGAATATTGTATATTTTCAAAGTATTTAGGAATTCTTTAATTAGAAAAATAATGGCAGGATTCATGCCCTCCCCTCCCAGCCCGGGCTAGGTCCCGGCCTGCCCAGAGCGCTGCGGAGCGGTGGGGTCCGCAGCAGACCTGGAGGCACAGCCTCTGGGACCTGCTGGAGCAGTAAAGACATCTCCCCCAGCCCCACCCCCGCGCGCTCTTATGCCCCAACCAGGCGGGGGCGCGGGCGGAGGCGGGGCGGAACGCCAGGTGTGAGCCCACCTCCGTCTTCTTCTCGCCCTCTGCTGGTAGGCTGGTGCAGCCATGCAGGTCTATGTTCTGTCTTTTGGCTAGGAGGACAGTGACTTGGAGTGGGAATACACGGGCTGTCCTTTTAGAAAACGAAGAACTTGCAAAACTTGATCTTTTTGTTTGTTTGTTTTACTCAGGTTATCTACTTATTCCTTGGTAGAATTAATACAGAGGGTGCCAAAAAATGAATATACATTTTAAGAAAGGAAAAATGTTAAAGTTGTAACACTCAATATATACCGATAGCAAAAGATGACTGACTACAAGTCACATTTGACTTCTGCAATTACAGGAGGTGCTCAGCGTCCAGACACTTCTGATTAAGCGAACTACTGCCTGAGCAACATTGACTAGAGTGTCCACTTGTATACATTTTTTTGCACCTCCTGTGTGTGTGTGTGTATGAATTATGTATTTTTTAATTTTTTTTTCAGTTACAGTTGACATTTAATATTTTATATTAGTGTTAAGTGTACAGCATAGTGGTTACACATTTAGATAATTTATTCAGTGACCACCCCCTCAATTATTCTAATATCCATCTGGCACTATACATAGCTGTTGCATTATCAACTGTATTCTCTATGCTGTACACTATTTACAATAGCCACAACGGAAGCAACTCAAGTGCCCATCAACAGACGACTGGATTAAGAAGATGTAGTACATATATACAATGTCATATTACTCAGCCATATAAAAGAGTTGTGGCTCCTTTGATGAGACAGAATCTGAAGAGTCAAGCAAACTGTCCCACCAGCCAATGCTGCCATTCCTTAGGGTTCCATATGTCTTGCCTGCAGCTAGTGGTTTTCCAAATTTGGTTATTGAAGGAGTTCTCCATGGGAAATTTTATCCTCATCTACAGCCCAGCTAGAAATCCTACATGGCCAGAAGAACCTGAAGCAAGTTTCAAAATAGTCGTCAAGAAAATCAATATCTACCAAATTAACCTAAACTCTATGACATAACTGCTCTAGCTAGTGGTAAAATTCACAGCCCCAACTCAATTCAGGGCAGGGATGTTTCCATTAGAATGGTGCTTTTAAAAAATAGAAACTAAACCAGGGCAGTGATGAGGTTAAGGCCAAGTGTTTAAGAAGGAGAATGTAGCTGCCAATTTAGAAACCCATGAAAAGGAAGCTATAGAAGATCCCTGGAAGCATCTAGTGTGACAAAAACAAAGTGACTCTCGGCTTCACTTGCACCATTTGCTAATTGAAAATCTTATCCTGAATCATACTGATTAACATTAGTAGTTTTTGTTTGTTTGTTTGTTTGTTTGTTTTTTAGCTCTTGATAACATTTGGTCGCTTTTTTGTTCAGATTTTGTGACACTAATTTTTTCATTATGAGATTTTTCTCAGCTAGTGATAGATCCATTCTGAAGTGCTGGCACCATGAGAGTATCACAGAAACACACCCTGCAAAATGTGAGGAAGGAACTAAACTGGAAATTAAATTAATGCTGACAGTATCGGGGTGCTTTTTAAATCATGGCATTTGAACATTACAGTAGAGTTGCATCATACCTAGAGATTAGATTTTTATGTCAGTATGTAAGATACAATGGGGCATTCAGATTATCCTTGAAGCCCTTGAGAAAGGCTCCAAGTTGGAAATCTGTCCATCTACCACAGCCCGTTTTTCCTCCACTGTTGGGAGAAATGACTATTTCTTTTTTTTTTTTTTTAAAGATTTTCTTATTGGGGAATTGGGGGGATGGGAACAGTGCTGGGGAATTGGGGGAAGGGGAACAGACAAGTTG